GCCTCCCTGGCACGCTGCCCACCACCCCGCGCGGAGGCAAGGCACCTCCCCGCTGACAACAGGCTTGAAACCCCTTTTTAGATGATATTCATGAATCAGCATCCCACTGCCTCCGGCCACTGTCACTGAGAGGGGATGAGAAGCCCCGGATGTCCTCAGCATCTCTCCGAGGGTGTTCCGGCGGGGATCTCTCTCGGATTAGGGAATCCTTTATCTCTGGTTTATGTAAGACCCGGGGACTCCTTTTATGGTTGGCTTTTCCTGCTTTGTCAAGAGCAAAGAACAAATGTAGCTTCATTTGCGCTTGCGGGTTGGCTAACTGATTAACCATCTGATTCAAGCTAACTACGGAACAGGCTTTTGATGGGCGGATTTAATTTGGTGTAAAAACCAGGATGCCATCCCCCTCCCTTACTGAATATTCCCAAGATAGCGGTTGATCTGGTGCAATTAAGCAGCGGGGATGACTCCCACCTACCAATTCTTTAGAAAGTCCAGAGTGCTCCAGTTTGTACTGAAGTGGCTCCTTTGAGTGTTTCCCCCTCTCCTTCCCCCCTCCTCTTTTCTTTTCTTTTGTCTCTTTTTTTTCTTTTTTTCCCCCTGCTGATTTACCACCATTTCCAAGCATTTGCGTTAGGAGTGAGCTCACTGTATGTGTGTGTGTGTGTGTGTGTGCACGCACGTGAGGGTGTGCGGGGGCCCGTGGGCGTCTGTCTTGGTGTGACACACTGAATTCCTCCTCATCTCCCCCTCTGCGAGTCCTGCCAGGGGAAGCATGCTAATGATGACCTTGCTGAGTAAATAGTTGTGGAATGAATAAGTGTTTTTCCTGCAATCTGAAAGGCGGAAGGTGCGATTACTCATCCATCTACCCAACTGTCTCCAGCACCTTTCAAGCGCTTCTCGCGTCGAGTCTGGGGGCGTGCGCGAGGGGGTGGGAAGCGAGGGGAGGCTGCCAAGATCTGGGTTGCCACAGACACCGGCCTTGCTTTTCCTCCAATAAACGCTGCGCTGAGAGTGTGAGAGGAGGCAGGGCAACACCCACATGTTGAGCTGTGTGGGGTATAAGTAGATGGAAGAGCCTGGACTAGTGGCAGTTCAGACAGGGAAGAGAAGCAGCTCTTTGCATCTCTAGTGAAAGCGCTTTTTGACTCGCCAAGTTTACCAGAGGAGAAATCACCGGGATTTTTGCAGCAGCTTCCAGCTTCTGTGTGCATCTCTGTGTGTTTTTCTCCAGCGGGGACTCTCTGACATTCGAGATTCTCAGCTCCGGATAAGCAGGTAGCGGGCACGCGTGCGGGGTTGGACATCTTAGCCAACTCCTCTCCTTGTTCCTGGAGGATCCTGGCTCTCTCTGGGACACCCTGAGCACGTGAGACCGGCGTTTCCAGCTGGGCACCGGGAGAAATTTGCCTACAACTCTCTCTGGGATCCACGGGGACCAAACAGCTCGCTCTGCGGTGATATCTGATTTGGTTGTGTTTGTGTTGAAAAGTCCTTTGAGGGGGGTTTAGAAGTCTCTGTGTGTCTTTCGGGAAGTGTTGTGGTTGGGTTTTTGAGAGCCAGCTCTAGCGCCGGGGCTTACAACCCAGTTCTTTCTGTGTTTGACACTTGTACTGTCGGAGCCATGCAGCTGGATAATGTCACCAATGCGGGCATCCACTCCTTCCAGGGGCACCGTGGAGTTGCCAACAAGCCCAATGTGATCCTGCAGATAGGGAAATGCAGGGCAGAAATGTTGGAGCATGTCAGGAGGACCCACCGGCACCTCCTGTCTGAGGTCTCCAAGCAGGTGGAGCGCGAGCTGAAAGGCTTGCAGAAATCAGTGGGGAAGTTAGAGAATAACTTAGAGGACCATGTCCCAACTGATAACCAAAGATGGAAGAAGTCCATCAAGGCCTGCCTGGCCAGGTGCCAGGAAACCATTGCCCATCTGGAGAGGTGGGTCAAGAGAGAGATGAATGTTTGGAAGGAGGTCTTTTTCCGTCTGGAGAGGTGGGCGGACCGTCTGGAGTCCATGGGAGGCAAATATTGTCCCGGGGACCATGGCAAGCAGACTGTGTCCGTTGGGGTGGGAGGCCCAGAGATAAGGCCAAGTGAGGGGGAGATTTATGATTATGCCCTTGATATGAGCCAAATGTATGCACTGACCCCTCCTCCCGGGGAGGTGCCCAGCATCCCTCAGGGCCATGATTCCTACCAGTGGGTCTCCGTGTCAGAGGATGCTCCAGCCTCCCCAGTGGAGACCCAGGTCTTTGAGGATCCCCGGGAGTTCTTGAGCCACTTGGAGGAATACTTAAAGCAGGTGGGTGGAACAGAGGAGTACTGGCTGTCTCAGATCCAAAATCACATGAACGGCCCAGCTAAAAAGTGGTGGGAATACAAGCAGGACTCTGTCAAGAATTGGGTCGAGTTCAAGAAGGAGTTCCTGCAGTACAGCGAGGGGACTTTGACTAGGGATGCTATCAAAAGGGAGCTGGATTTGCCCCAGAAAGAGGGGGAGCCCCTGGACCAGTTCCTTTGGCGCAAGAGAGACTTGTACCAGACCCTCTATGTTGATGCAGATGAGGAGGAAATTATCCAGTATGTGGTAGGCACCCTCCAGCCCAAACTGAAGCGTTTCTTGAGTTACCCCTTGCCCAAGACCTTAGAGCAGCTGATCCAAAGAGGGAAGGAAGTCCAAGGCAACATGGAGCACTCTGATGAGCCCAGCCCACAGAGGACCCCTGAGATGCAATCAGGAGATTCTGTGGACAGCGTGCCTCCCTCAACTACTGCCAGTCCCGTGCCGAGCAATGGGACTCAACCTGAGGCCCCTAGCCCACCAGCTACTGTCATATGAGCTAGTCCAAGGGAGGCGGCAGTCTGGGTTACATGAAAGGGAGAAGAGGGCATATTTAGGAAGCTTCTCACTTGGAGAGAGGTTCTGGCTGAGACGAGACATGAGGTGTGCTCAGTCCAACAGCCCATAGCAGAGGAATTAACTTTGCTTGTGGGGGGAGGGAGGCGATGGGGGAGAGGCACCTTAGGATGTGGTTGCCCACCTCACCTGAGCCATGCAATACGGTGGTGCTGGAGATACTGCTTGCACCACTGTGGGGAACGGACAATTTTATGAGATCCCTGACAAGAAACTAGAGACGATTCCCAATTTCAGAGGCAGCCGCTTCGCACTGGCGGCTTTCAAGGACTTCATGCGAGTGCAGCAATTGGCTGAGGGTTCCTACCCATCTGGATCTCTCCTCCTCCTTCCCTCCTCCCTCTTCTGAAGAGATGTCCCTGTCCTGTGGAGACATCTTTCTTTTGACCCTTGCCCTTTTCTGATTTACCACTGGGCTTCTGTTCACTTGGCAATCTCCTGTTCTTACTTGCTCCAAAGGATTAAACAACTTTTATTTTTTTGTTAGAAGAAATCCTATGAATTCAGGAACTGAAAACTTCAAGAATCTGGATTACTGTTAGTGTTTTTTCATTTCACTGCACCTAATACCTGCTTTAATATTTTCCCTCTCAAGAGGCTCTTACTGGCTTACTTCTTGTCTTAGTTTCTGCTCACTCCAATCAAGGCCACTGCAGTGCAGAGGCAAATTTCACCCTTTCTCTGCACATTATATTGTGCATTCAGAAAATTAAATTCTGAGCTCATATATTGAAGGGGCAGTCTGCTTCTTTTCAGAGAAGAGAGGGTGTCAAGGTGGAGAGAGGAGGCACCAGAGCTATTTTGAGGGGGTGGGGGGAGGTAAGGGAAATAAATCCTTGTACTTTGAATGGAACAAACAAACACATCCTAAATCCAGAGCAAAATATCCCCAGAGCAGCAAATTGAGTCCATGCTGATGTGTGGAGACAACAGGAGCTTTTGCCATGTAAAAACAAAAAGAAGTGAAGAGAGAAGCTGTGTGTCCCAGCACAGTTTCAGCCTGTGCATCACAACAAAGAGTTTCTGCTCACGCAAACAGACTCAAAATGCTCTTGGAAAGCCTGGCACCCCTGTCCTGGAGCACCTGAGGACAGAGCGTTGTCTCTTCACAAAGAACTTTCTACAACATCTCCTTGCCATGGACGGAGACGGACTTGGACTCTGTGACATTTTCCATGTTGAGACAGTAATGCTCAGCATTCACCTTTCTTTGGCTGACGCCTGATGATAGGACTTTGAGATGAAACTGCTGCAAGACATATTCAGGAAGTTTGGCTCTTCAAAGCTTCTTGAGGCTGGACACATCTTGAGCATCATCTGTATTCACCACCAGACCAAATAAGCAACACCTCTGCAAGAGATACAGCAGGGATGCAGCAACAGGAGTGCCCCTGGGATGCTCCTGGCACTACTACAGCAGTGACATGTGGCACCGGTGGCTCAGAAGGCCTTTGGTGTGCCTCCTTCCAAGAGACTGAAGGTAAGGCAACTCTCTGACATTCTCTTCTCTGCACTCCTCAGACTTAAATTAGCCATAGCCTGTCCAGTAGGAACCTTGCACTGCGATAAAAAAAAAAAAAAAAAATCTGAAATGGCATATGAAGCATAGTAAGTGACAGGGTAGGGTTGGGAGAAAGGGGAAGGGAAGGCCAGCCAAAGGGAAATAAAAGACAGTGAGTGGGAAAAGTTTCCAAACAGGACAGTATCTTGCACTTTCTGATTAATATGGGGAGGAAATGGGAAACTTCTTCATTAGCTCAGCCCAAGGACCTATCCCATGAAGCTCTGGGCTCAAGTCCCCAGCTGTGACAACACATCACAGGTCCATGCACAGCACAAAGGAGATGCATGTCTGCTCTGCACCCTTGCTAGAAGCGAGTCAGTCTCAGGAACGGCGGGGGCTCTCCTCTCACTTGTTCAGAGCGAGTTAGTTTGGCAGTGGTTGTGTCTGCAGAGAGAAGAGAGCATTTCTTACTGATGACCTGGGATGAGTGGTGGGGGAGTGGGTGTCATTGCTGAGGATGAGCTGGCCGTGCATTACAAGCATTATCTTCTCTTGGTTACAGTGACTCACTCAGATCCTCCTCTGAGAAGGAATCACTTCACAGTGCTCAGGATTCAGAAGGAAAACCAAAGGGAAAAAGCTTCAAAACCAGGGATTCAACATCAGTCCTGCTGTCAGGATCCCCAGCCACCGACTGCTGGATCCACTGTCTGAAAGAAAGACTGGCACAGGTAATTACCTCTCATCTTACCCTTGTGGGCCTTTCTTAGCCTCCCCAGTGCCCTCACCCGAGATACCGAATAGCCCAGGTGCAAATATCGGTACTGGTCTTGAGACCTCAGCCCTAATGGTTGCAAGAGGCTGGCACCACCAAATAGGTGAGATTTCAGCTTCTTGATGTAGGAACCCAAGCACCAGCCCCAATGATTAATGCTCTGGGGCCAGCGCGCATCATGCATTGCTTTCTACTGGACCATTGGCAAATGCTTAGACACCAATACCTAGTGGGACCTCCAGGCTGCAGACATCTAGTGGGCACAGCTGAATATAACCCCATCTCCTGAGAAATCCCCTGTCCTCTCCACTTTGGATATCTAACCTTAGCTGCTGCATTTTTTTTTTTTTTTCTTTTACAGAGATCCCTGCTATTTTGCTGAGTTTCCTTCTCTGTGTCCAAGAGTCTTGCTTTCCCAGGGAAGAAGAGAGTGCTGCAGGAAGACAGAGGACAAATCATAGCACCAAAGAGCTTCCCACACAGTGCAATGCCATGTTCAAGGTGCTGAGAGCCAGAATGAAAGAGGGAAGCCACTTCCAACAGGACGAAGAAAAGACTGAGTTGGTCCAGGTACTCCAAGCACAGAAGAAAGTGTTGAGAATGAAAAGAGAAACCAAGAGGCAGAACAGAAGAACCAAGTCTGGGCTTTGGGGACATGCAAGGATGCTGGGCTAGTATTGACTGTCTGTTGAGATGATACCATACCTCTGCCATTTGGGGCCACTGGGACTCACCTAAGGAAATCTTTGCTAGATTATCAGTTAAAAAAAACTTTCCTGACTAACTTTGCCAAATGACTGACCCTACCTAGGCTACGAACCCTCCATGCTGTTAATGCTGTAACTCATTTTTCCTGAGTTGAGGGTAGCTTCATTTCATGCGGGTATCAGTTTTCAAACCTCAAAGGGCTCTGGAGGTTCGGAGAAGCATCCTGCGGTCCAGATGCTTGTCTGAACTGCTTGAGCCTGCACAACTTCGCCAGCTGTCTTGCCAGAAGGGAGACTCTTGTGAGGCAGCAGGTGCTTCTTGGATCTGCATGGACCAGAGTTACTACAAGAACTGGGGTTCTTGTGCTGGCTTTGGCATGACTGTTTCCATCCAGACCCAGGGAGCGCAGAAGTTGCACAAAAGACAAGAGCTCGAGTGAGTTGAACAAGACAGTTTTGGTTCACATCTCAGCTGAAGAGGTCCAGTTGGTTCCTCTCTCTTCCAGAGCCAACTGTCCCGAGTATGCATGTGTGCGTGTCAGTGCGGGTGTATGTGTGTTGAGCAATCAAATCCACCTAACCAAATTCTGTTGTGTTTTGTTGCATTTGAACTAAGCCAATGGGACCTAACGTGCATTCCAACAATGCTCAGCAAAAATGTCCAGGACTGGAAAATTATGTAAAACCATGTAAAGGCAGACTTCATAGGCATCATCCCAAGGCCAAAATGATGTTTGATTTTGAGGTGCTTAATTTCCACAGTCCCTTCCAAGGGGTCTGACTGCCTCAATATGCATTTTATTTTTCCATAGGCTTCCTGCCTTTTTAATGAATTAGCCAGTCTGTGCTACTTGATCATCTGGTCCTGAGGTTTATACATTTTCAGCTGACTTTTTGGAATGTGCAGAACTGAATCTCCTGGACTGATTTTATTTCAATTATTGCTCCTAGCAGATTGGAGCTTTACTTGTAGCACCCTGGTTTATATTACCAGCCTCTCCAGGAAGGGCTGGTAGTTTATTTTCCTGGGGCAGAGTCACGTGAATGAAGAAGTGTGTATGTGTTGTGTCTGTGAAACTTTAACGAATTTCAACCACTGGATTTTTTTTTTTCCTTAGGCAATTTTACATTTGACTCTGACAAAACTACTTTAGAGTTTTTATTTTTACTAGAGATATTATTAATTCAAACAACCTTGTACAAAAGGCAAATACATTGAACCACTACAGGTTATAGGGGTTGAAGCCAAAAGGTCTTTGTAAACCGACATCACTTGCCCTAGATCTGACTGTATCAGGCAGTTTATTCCTCATGTGTCATGTTGGAGTTACAAGATCACACTAAGCCACTAGAACCTGTCAATAGAATAGTGCTACACTCTATTTGCTATTGTAGCAAAGCCTTTTGTAGATTTATACAATAAAACTTTGAAATATCTGCTTCAATTGCTTTGTGCCTTGCTTTCTGGTCTTTCTTCCTTGGCTCATGTGAGACTCAAGTATCCATTACCCTCTGAAGATTTGGTCTTGTCAGCCATTTAGGCTTATTTGACTCATGAAATCTTCCTTCTCAGGAAAAGCAGAAGATTTACATAAAAATGAGAAGAGGGGTTGGATATAGAAAATATGGAGTGTTTTAAGGGGGTTGTTTAGTCAAATGTCGCCCATGTGGCTGGGAGAAATGGTCCCTTGTGAGACTATGGATTGTGCAGGGCTCTTGTCATCTAACAGAAAGGCTGTTGAAACAGAGGGCAATCACATTTTGACCCATGCTTGAGAGCTAATATGCATGGAAGAGCTGAGGCAAGTCAGGGCAAGGTAAAGAAATCACTAAGCCTGAATCAGATCTGCTTGATATCCAAAGAGTCAGAAGAGTCAGCGCTCAGCAGCACACAGAGCCAGGAGCTACTATTGGGCTGGTGCTTTGCTACCTAAAGCACTCCCCTATACAGCAGGGTTATTCTCCATTCCTTAGGTTCGTTACACCTAAAACACCTCTGGGTCATTGGGGCTGGAGGAAGGGAACATAGCAGGGGATGTAGCTCAGAGTGTTTTATATTGAAATGAGTATTTTTACAATAGGCTGGGCTCAAAGATCTGACCTCAAAGACCTTCAGTCCATGGGGAGAGAGGGTTTGGCTCTGCCTCTGCAAATCCCTCCTCTTCTGAAAACATTTTGCACTCAGGTGGATTTAGCCCTCATTCCTTGCTCCATCCCTGGTCTCTCTCCAACGAGGACAGTGTTAGGTCTAACAGTCCAGGGTGTGATGCAACTGCTAATGTGCACTTCAGTAGGTCAGCTGGAGAAACAAACGGACCCATTCCTTTCACAACACGCACTAAATGTGCATTGCCA